TTATCCTACTATTATCCTACTATTATCCTACTATTATCCTACTACTATCATACTATTATCCTACTACTATCCTACTATTATCCTACTACTATCCTACTACTATCCTACTATTATCCTACTATTATCCTACTATTATCCTACTATTATCCTACTATTATCCTACTACTATCATACTATTATCCTACTATTATCCTACTACTATCCTACTATTATCCTACTACTATCCTACTATTATCCTACTACTATCCTACTACTATCCTACTATTATCCTACTATTATCCTACTATTATCATACTACTATCATACTACTATCCTACCCTCACTGTCAGTCAGGCTGTCCTGCTGAGATGCATCTAGAGAGGAAGAAAGCTGTTGACTCAGCAGCTGCTTTTTTTTTCTTTTTGCTGAGCAGATTGCACATTTTTACAGTATTTGTATTTAGCTTTTTAGGGTCACTTTGTGGGCTTGTCTTCTGAAGTTTTTCTCCTGATTATTCAATATTTTAAAAATGAATTTGTGTCATTAGTTGTGTTTTGTTGTGGAACAAAGGATTAGGTTCAACAAAGCCTCTAAGATGAAGTTTATTTTATTGAACATTGAAAGTTCTGGTGATCGTTGCCACAAACTGATGTCTGTTACTTGGTGTTGAGACCACAATATTTGAATGAAGTCTCTGCATGGAAATAATTATCTCGTGGCCGCAGTTTTTCATTATCGTTCAGTTTTATTTAATTGTGACTTTTTTCTTTTAATTCAGTTAGTTTTAATTAGTTTTCACAGTGGGTTTGATAGTTTTTATTAATGATTTTTGCATTTTTAATGTTTAGTTTTACTTTAGGTTTTATTAGTTCTATTAGTTTTTTTATAGTTTGAATGAACATATTTGCCAATGCATCCTCCAGCTTGTGCGTTAACTAACCAGCAGATATTTGGTCACTAGTTAAATCAGTCCATTATAGCAACACCTTCCTAAAATAATTATATAACTCAATTTTATCGAGTAAAACCTTGGTGATTATTTTAGGATGATGATAATAGTTGTCTCCAACCTATAGTAACCCTGCACAGAACAGGCTCTGCAGGAAAGACAATGAAGGAGACTTTGTTCTAATTTCTCATCTTTTATTTAATCTTCAGTTTCTGTCTGAAAGGGGAGGTTCTGGACGGCAGCTGCCCTGCTGTCATCGATTACACACCTTACCTGAAGTTCACCCAGAGGTACATGATTTACCTCCAGAACATAAACAACTAATAATAATATAAATGAATAAATATAATGTTGTGTTGTGCAGCACGATCAAACTGGAGATATAAAAGAAAGATGGTTCTGTCTCCAGTTCAGTTACTATAAGTTAAATAAGCTGCATTTACTGGTTTGTGTGTGTAAAATACCAGGCTCCCTGTCGGGGAGTGTGTGGTCAGAAAGGTTAGGTTAGGGTTCAGGATGTGTGTTAATAACAGGCAACACGTGGCTGTCCCCGTGCAGCACAGACAGCATCAGCAGCGACGAGGAGGAGATGAGGACTCTGGGAAGCAGCGGCAGTGAGAGCAGCACTCCTGAGACAACGGCCACGGCTGCTTCCATCTTCACCCAGCAGAGCAGCCTGGTCAGCAGGTGCAAACGCTTTGAGCAGAGGTATCGCATGGCTCTGGAGCAGAAGGTGAGTGGTCCACTGGTGGCGAGGCTGGGATGGGTTTATTATAATCAGGAGCAGAAGAGCGAGCTGCTTCTGACACCAACACATCTGACCTGTGACCAGCTTCTCTCTGTGGCTTTACTTCAAACATCTTTCTTCTTGAACAAACAGGAGTGTGTGTCTGTGTGTGTCTGTGTGTGTGTTTCCTGACATCAGGGTTACCTGGAGGAGCTGGTCCGTATCAGAGAAGCCCAGCTGTCAGAGGCTGTTTCTCACAACAAGGCTCTTCAGCAGAGCCTAGCAGAGGCCCAGCTCTCCCACACACTGGACAAACAACAGCTGGAGTTCATCATCCTGGAGCTGCAGAACCAGCTGTGAGTGTGTGTGTGTGTGTGAGTGTGTGTGTGTGTGTGTGTGTGTGTGTGTGTGTGTGTGTCTGTGTGTGTGTGTGTGTGTCTGTGTGCTGTCTCAGAGGCTTCCAGTTGGTGATAAACTCTGCACTCGTCTGTTCAGGACCGTGCTGAAGAACAACGACCTGAGGTCCAGGCAGGAGTTAACGGTCCATCTGACCAATCAGTGGCCCTCTGCCGCTGCTCTGGACAGCAACGCTGTTGCTTTGGATACGCTGCTGTACAGGAAGTGTGCGGGGCGGTGGGAGGAGTAGGTTGATTAATTTTTATTATTCAGTTTGTTTGATATGTTCACATTGATTTGACTCTAACATGTTACATGTGTAAGGGTTAGGGTTAGCCTGTCCTGAAGACGAGATGCTTTCTGCATCTTCAGCTACATTCAGATGATGAACAGAACCACACACACACACACACACACACACACACACACACACAC